CCCAGAAGGCTCCGAGACCCTGCCAGCTCTGCTGAACAGATTTCCAGGATCATCTGAAACTTGAATGTTGCATTTATTTTTGAGAATGACAGAATGGGAGCCATACTTTACAGGGAGAATGGCCATTCCCCAAAATCTTTGGTCTGAACGCCGCTGCCCCACACCCAGACCCTGAAAAGCCCTATAAGATGCCTACAGAATCCATAGAAAATGCAAAGAAATTATGCAGAAAGGCTTATTTTCTCTTCTTCCAGTATCTTTAGGACTTCTGCTCACTTCCTTGAAGGAAGAGAGAAAGGAGAAAATGGTCTCGTATAGCCATCAGCCCTACATAGCTGTGATGGTATGAATACAATTATTTTTGATACAGATGAGAAAAAACATTGTACCAGATGAGCCTCAAGGATGCTCAAGATCATGTGGGAATCAGTTCCATTAGCCAAAGTCACATAAATCTGCAGAAGCAGAGGGGCCCTAGCCAAAGTGATGCTCCAAGTATTGGCCAGACTCAACCCTGCCTCATGCTGTGGCTGAAGCTGCTGGTCCCAATTGTGATCTCCAGAAATAAACCCGAGGGACTTAGCAGAGCTACACACTATAAAACTTGCAGTAAGCATGGAGTGCTATAAACCTCATTCCTAAGTCTGAAAGACAGTTATGATTTTAAAATAGCTACTTTCAGTCATTTGGGGGATTTGCTACAGAAAAAAAACCCACCAAACTATAAACACTCTAGTGAAAACTAAACAGAAGCAGTATTTAGATAGAGTGGCCTCAGGAATGTTTTGGTTGTCATTACAAAAATAAATAGGTGAGATAAGAGGAAAAATAATATGAAAAGCGATGTTATTTTCAAGCCTATATTTAGCTGCTTTTTTTTTTTCTACTGCCAAGTCTCTTTAAGAAAGAAGATTAATGATTGACAGTTCCCTGCAGAATAATTTCAAGCTAAGATTAATTTAAATTATGGGAGAAGAACATGTAAAGAAGTTTTGTGAATAAAAAAAGTTCAGCAGCACCCTACTACTGACATTTATGAGCTGTCAAATCTCATATGGTGCATACTGGAATTGCTACTCTCTGATATTTTAATGTTTTTCCTTGGAATTTTTCTTTTGGGAGAAAAAGAGCTACCCTTACCAGATTTCACCAGATCTGATATTTTTACTGATTAGCAGAATGCAGAATATGACCAGCTGCAGACCAGAAGGACAGCTTTAGCTCATGCTAATATGAACAAGTGTCTGGGTAGCACCCATGTTAATTGTTTAGTATAGCTCATGGTTCATTTTATTTTCATTCACGGATAAGCAAGTTGTTGCATGGCCACGACAAGCAGCAAAGCAAAGCAAAAAGATAACCACCTACCTGTGTCATCTAGTTTGTATTCCAGCTTACCTTGTAGTAAAAAAGGCTCTCCATGTGTAGATGGGACATACACAGTCATGGTCAAGATGGTTAGCACTCCAAGGGACAGCTGGACAGACCACATCTTCTCCACGTTCCCACCGCCCAAAAGCATTCTTCCTTCAGGCACGGTGGAGGACTTCAATGCAACCCAGTGCCAGATGAGCTCACTTTTAAGAGGCAGTGGATGTGCCGTGATTGCAAATGGCCTTTGGAGGAGGGGAGAAAAATATCTCTTGAGATATAATTCAACCTGTCAATATGATTCACTCCTTTGGGAGTGGACAGAACAACCCAGTAACAGACGTCAGATGGAACCTGTTCAATATATCTCATATCAGACTGATCTAATGAATTCTGATGTTCCCACCGGCATGCACCATCCACGCACGTCGACATACATTCCATACGTACATACATTAAAAATATTTTTTCGGGGCTGCTGCTTTAATGGAGTTCAGACATGAGGACTCCCACATTAGCAAGGAAGATTTGTCTAACGTACAAGTTGCCGTATGTCACCAGTTTGGACAGAATCAGGTTAATGGGTTTTTGTAATTTATCATCTCACTTCCTAGTGCCTATATTAATTAATGTGAGATATAATGAGTGCTGAAGTGGTGGAAAACAAAGGGGGAGAGTTCTTTTCATTTAACTGATTGGAGGATGTTGAATGTGTCTCACTCACCGTGACTTATGGCTTTGTGAACGGGAAAGGCATCACACCCTATTTTGGGATTGTGTCTGAGTGGGGGAGTGCGGATTTGGCAGCAGATATGGAATACATCAAGGATGGGCAAGTGTCTTCAGTTTTTTCTTGGGGAAAAAAAGAAGTGGAAGGTCAGATGCTGGTTCTGGCTGCACAGCCATATTTTATTAGTTTACAGCAAAGTATTGCTGTGCGCATTGCACATATTCCATGTCTTCTCAGGTCGTGACTACATCTTGGTTTGGCTTCTACTTGTTGCCTGTCCATCACTATTGATCAGGGACCTGCTACTAGTTTTCTATTACAACCTTACCAAGAAAAATGTTGTGATAGTAACAGCGCTAAACTTTGTTCTTCACTTCTGCTTCTTCTGCAGAACTGAATCATCTGTACTACACTTTGGCCAAGCTCTGACTTGTACATACACTCCTAGTGACTCACCTCGGGTGCTTTTTTGACACCACATCATGCCAGATTACCCAGCATAGCTTCATCTGATGGTACTTGCACTTCATCTTAACTAAAAGACAGTATCATTTCCATGTTTGGACTTTTGGCTTCTGGTCCCCAGCTCTCCCTACAACTTGCTGTGCACCTTGGATAGCTATAGGATGACTAGCCTTTCAATATCCCTTTTAATGGTTACTTTTTGCTAAAAAATGGGGGGGGAAAGGCTCAGATTTTTTTGCAAGAAGTGCCTATGAAAATGAATGTGATGCTTCCATTAAGGAATACTTCTCTACTAAGGAAATATTCCAAAATTTTCCCTGCAGATATAATATGTGCAAATAAACAAAACTTGTCTTTTCTCTCAGTCTTGTGAACCAGTGATCAACCAGCTGAAGTACTCCCCTTCTTCGCAAAGTTCTGTGTGGACTGAAGGACACCTGTGTCCTACAGGGACAACTTTTCCAGTCACCTCTGTCTCCCTAAGCTGCCCGTTTCAAACTGGCTGGTAGTGAGCAGCCCCCATGAAGTCCTGAGATCTGCTGTGAAATTGGGTTTGCCTTGGTATGGATGGTGGTTTTCCCCATCTCATCTAAGTCTATGCAGAATCCATAGATCCTGGACTGTTTTTTCCTACCCTTGGCTGTGAGGCACCGCGGGCTATTGGCAGGCTCTTTCAGGAAGGTGAGCCATTCCCTGGGATTTCCTCTTTCACTGCGGAAAAACTTCAGTTCTGGGTCACTGCGACTGTTCAGCCCCGAAAGCAACATATATAGTGTGCATGTCCTTTCAAGTGAGGGCCCTGGTGAAGGTGAAGGACTGCCATTCTACATTTACATACTAGAAGGGAGATTACTGGATGCTGTGAGCGGGTGGGTGGATAGATGCCTGCCAGACGCTGCCAGACACTAGTGGACTTTTTGCATTTGTTGCTGTTATGAGATGGTTGATTTGAAGTGTTGGGCTTCTGTAAGACTCCCACCTGGAAAATTCCTTTGCTTTTAGCCCATCTGTCTGGGTGCTGGAAATACTATCAAATTTTATTGTTCTTACATGTTTTATTCGCCATAGAAAAACAACATAGTCTCTGTACTCTCCCTATTACTTCACTCAGTGATAATGTCTTCTGCATCATCCACTGAGCACTTGTGTCTAGAGCTTAGAGATAGCGAGAACATGAAGATGGGAATTCCATCTCCACCTCCTATGGTCCTAGTCTGTCTAAGCCTCTTCATGAAGTTTCTCTTTCCATAAGGCTATGCAGACTTCACGTAATCAAACACAATCAAACTGGAAAATTGACAAGGGTGGACAAAACCAACCAATCCAGAGGGCAGGAATGGAGAAGACTTGGCTCAAGCAGCTGAGATGCCACTAAAGTCAGCTGTGCCAGCTCTGAGTGTGGGAGAGATGAGTACACGTGTCAGGGCCCTGAGGATGTTAACAGTCCTGAGCAGCCTCAGCTGGGGTCTCCAGCCACCCTCTCTGCCCATAGGCTGAGAGCCCCATTTAAGCTCAGCTGTGGGCCACCTCTGTTTCCGCTTGAGCTATGTTGGAGGAATCATAGAATTGGAATGTTGGTCTGCAGCTCAGCTATGTCTTTCCCTGCCCATGGCCCATACTGATCTGGACCCAGACCTTCAGGTTGACTTACCTGTTTGACCTCATACATGTTCCATCAGTATGGGCCTGTCTGGTGTTCACTGGGCTGTGTTTGACCCTGGTTGCTGTCATTGGGCCTGATTCTGACTAGTGGATTGACTTTCAGCTTGACCCTGGATCTGCCTCATCATCATGGGCTTCCCTGATCATTGGGATCCTTGACTGAATCTGGCTGCTGTCTCTGGACCTGCCCTGCTTGCACGCCTTGGGATAGGTTCCTGTCCTGCTGGCAGCATTGCTGCACTTGGCTCCCTGTTCCCTAGGGAGAGGCTGGCCCTTGTTGCTCTCGGACATCATCCTCCTCAAAATGTTCAGCTTCTTTCTGTGCATAGACTCTTCTTCTCTGCCAGGTAGATTAGTAGATCTTGGAATGGTGAAGGCTTTCAGGTATGCTATATAAAATCTCAATTTCTCTGAACTAATTTTGGGCTTTGCTGTTAGCTCTAATGAAGCTAGGACTGCCTCTAGAAGAGATGCAGTCCCCAAATAACCTAACTTTATTTTAACCTCAAAGCAGTAACGTTTACTGTTTCAGAGTAAGCCTCAGACAAGGGGAATTCAGTGTGGGTTTTGGGTGACTTGTAAGATGCAGCAGAACGTGAAAGGGCTACTTTCCAGAGCCAGCTTGGAGTGGCAGGTTTCCAGACCACTTTGTATGCTGTACATTTGGGGTTTGGAGAGAGGGAGGATATTTTTTTCTTTTCCAGAGCTTCCTGAGAACACATGAAAACATCACATGTATCATGTATTTCAGGTGAGCCTCAACAGCATCCACAGGCTTTGCTGTGGTCCTTACGGTCTCCACTTAACCATAGTTTGCTTGGTCCCAAAGCAAACAACCTGCTGTGGGAGGACCTGTCAGGGAAGAGCCTTTACTTAAGGTTCAGAGGAAGGGCATATGAACTGTCCTGCAACCTCTGCACCAAGGATGGGTCTTGGCTGCAACCAGGCAGTCTCAGCTGGTGGAGACAGGATTTTAATACTGTGCGGTACATATGGAGAGACTCATGTATCACTGTTTTCTTGCCTAGAGTGTTTCTAAGAATAAGTTGAGAGTGGGGAATGACAAACAAATTTGGAAATGAGGAGGGGACATGCCTTGTAGAGGGAAAGGCAGGGTGGGGGCTTGATGGCCCCAACAAAGCGGGGAGAAGTTGGTGAGCTTTTAGCAGGCAAGAAAGGAGAGCTGCCCTCACAGCAGGGGTGACGTGAGCTTCATACACAGTGTCAGAAAAGCAGGAGTCATCTTGCTCCCCATCCTGGGCAGTGACTTACGCTGTACTCCCTGTCCCACCATGTGCTTCTATCACCTCTGTCTATGCACATGCCCAACAAACTGTTTCCATCTTCTGTAGCCAAGCCCCTTCTCTCTTCCATGATGTCTGCCTTTCCTGCCTGTATCACCATTGTAGACCTGACACCATTTTGTCTCTTCTGTCTACATTCCTATTGCATCTATCTGCTCCTGTGTCTCCAACTGTGCTTCATCTGGTAGGAATCAGAGTAGAAGGTACTGAAAACCACCCTGTCCTCTTCAGCCTTCATCCCTTACACATTTAATATCTGATTTCTCCTCTGCCTGTGTCACTTCTACCCTGGGGTGAACTTGAGAGAACAAAACCCACTCCAGTCCCGTTATTTAAAGTACCACTGGAAGGCACTCAGATACTCTGTTGATGTGTGGTGCAAAGTCCCTGACAGAGTGAATAATAATAACAATAATAATAATAATACACAAAGCAAGTGATGCACAATGCAATTGCTCACCACCCGCTGACCGATGCCCAGCCAGTCCCTGAGCAGCGGCCCCCCTGGCCAGCTTTCCCCAGTTTATGTACTGAGCATGACGCCACACGGTATGGAATGTCCCTTTGGCCAGTTGGGGTCAGCTGTCCTGGCTGTGCCCCCTCCCAGCTCCTTGTGCACCTCCAGCCTTCCCAGTCGGTCTCACCACCCGCCGACCGATGCCCAGCCAGTCCCTGAGCAGCAGCCCCCCCCGGCCAGCTTTCCCCAGTTTATGTACTGAGCATGACGCCACACGGTATGGAATGTCCCTTTGGCCAGTTGGGGTCAGCTGTCCTGGCTGTGCCCCCTCCCAGCTCCTTGTGCACCTCCAGCCTTCCCAGTCGGTAGAGCATGGGAAGCTGAAAAGTCCTTGACTAGTGTAAGCACTACCTAACAACAACTGAAACATCCATGTGTTACCAACGTTATTCTCATCCTAAATCCAAAGCACAGCACTGTACCAGCTGCTAGGAAGGAAATTAACTCTATCCCTGCCGAAACCAGGACACAGAGCAGCTTGGCTGCACAGAAAGGAATTAAAATAATGTGCACATAAGCCAGGAGAGCGGCTCCCTGAGAGGAAGG